TAAGATCAGGTGAATAACTTTTTTTTCAAATGTAAAACCAGATTTTAAATATAGTAATAGTATTAGAGTTGCTAATAGGATATAAATTTTATTGAAATTGCTATTGAATTATTCAATAGTAATTTTTATATTTGTTCAACAACAGACCTATTTAATTGAATGTTTGGCATTTTAATAGCTAGTTGCCAATAGTCTATTGGCAACTAACTATTAACCATTTAACAGTCCCATGTTTTGTTTTAAAAACGGTCGCCATTAGTCCAGCTTTTTTTTTTGAAGTGGTCTCTAAATATCCTGTATTTTTAAATTCATCATATTTTTTTGCAAATATAATAAAAAATGTTTTGTTACTATTTTTAACATTATTAAACCACTGATCTCAAAATACAACTGGATAGCACATACAGCAAATTTTTTGAAGCCATTTTTGGCCTCCCAAGATGGCGGCGTATTTAGTTGATTACAAATTTAAAAATATTTGTTACGAACTTTTATTTTTTATATATATATATAAAAATTAATGTACAAGTCTCAAACAAATCTAATTTTCGGTTTTATATAGCAATTCTTTTAAAAAGAAACACAATAATACATATTTACATAAATTTTTAAAATATATATAATATTTTGTTTAACAATACTCTTAATAATCTACTCAAACAATATTACTAATAATATTATACTTTTATAATATCACATTATATATTACTAATACATATATCACAATATATATTGCGAATAAATATTATACTCAAACAATATATATTGCAATAAATATAATACTTTTAATAGTTTACTCAAACAATAAATTTGTGTAATATCTTTCTTTTCTTTTTTTTTTTTAATTTAATTAAATAAGATAATATTTTTTAGTTAAATTAATTAAAAATTAGTTTATTTAGCATCAGTAAAGAATTTTTCAAATAGATATCACAAATTTATAAATGCTGCATGAATATTAGCTGAGCTCTGTTAGTACACAACTCAGGGGTTCCATCTAGAATTTTTCTTATATAATTATATGTACTTTATTTTTTATTTGGTTGTACTTTACTAAAGTCACTAAACATATATATATCAGGGTTGCAAAAAAACCTGTTTTTTTGAAAGAAAAAAACCACTAAGTATTTTCATTGAGTTCTTGGACATTTATGCTGTACGGTTTTCTAATACTAGTGATGTCGGGATCGGAAGTGTACAGAAGAGTATGAAAGACATTTGTAGCTAATCTAGAACATATCCTGACATGATAAAGGCGAAATTTTTTATAATCTTTATTACGGGATTCTTGCGCATCTTCTGAAAGTTCCCCGATAGGCAGTACTGCAAAATGTTATATGGTATTTTTTCCATGAAGTAAAATTTTGTGTACTGAAGACGAAATAAAGTACCAGCTATTATTACTCACATAAATTTAGGCAGATTTTATAGCATATGTCTCGAAACTTTCAGCATTTATTATAACACCTGAGGAGAGAGCTTGTAGAATTATGTAAAGTTGCTTAATCAAATTTTCATTTACTACAGCGATTTCAGAAGAGCAGCTTGCATTGTAAAAAAATCTCCTAGCAGTATTACCATCATTGGTATTACCACTTACTTATTTTGGTTTGTCGACGATTAACCCTGGCTGCTCACGAAAATGCTTCTGTACCAAGGTCTTCTTCTGTTTCTTTTGTCGTTTTTTTCTTCAATTTTAGCTGACCATGTTTGGAGAGACAGGTTATAGGAAATATGTAGTATCATTTCCATACACGGAATCCAGGCATGTAATGCCGACAGTCCATAATGATAAAAACTTTCATTTTCAGGCCTAGCAGACACTTTAGTCAAATCATGCATTTGTCGTGGAGTAGCTCCACATATTGTACATGTAGACGCAGAAGACGTATCCGTTAATACCTGAGCCACTTTTCCATCTTTGTTAAAAAAAGTTCATGTTTCACTTGTATTCCTTTACAACTTTTGTTAATTATAGATGGCTGTAAAGAGTAAATTTGGCTTTTTATTTCATCTACAACAATTTTAGTTTTCTCAGGAGTCTCTTAGCAAAATTCTATGCATATAGGTTGACTAAAACGTACAGACAAAGGAGCCGGATTTTGCCAAACAACTGTGCCAGGTATTTCATCAACTAATTTGATCGGTACCAAAGATAATAAATTCGCATCAGAAATAAGTTCAGATTCCATCGGAAGTTTCTGTTTGTAACTCGCTTTGGCCAGAGGAGCCGTCACGACCCCATTTACTATACAAAATTAATTGTTTAAATTTATTATTGAATACGGATTCTGTAGTCAAAAATATATCTACAGTGTGATCCAATAAATCTTGCAGTTTCATAAATTTTGCATGTGTGTTCAGAATTTCTATTGCAGAAGATGGTGGATGGTGTCAACTTCCTCAAGTATAAATATTGTGCTTTAGTTAAATCTAAATCAACAAACACGCTGAATCCTTCTTCATCTGTCAGTAAAACATTTTCATAAAACTCGAGACA